TGGTTTCCTTTTCTACTAACCGAGGCTAATGGGTGACTTTACATTCTTTTAGGTACATTTTTGAAGATAAACAAATACAGGTTTGATCATTAGAGCTCTCTGTTTCCTGTGAGGAGGCAGAGTACCTCCAGGCTTCTGAAAAACAGGCTTTTATTTTTATAGAGGAAAAACTTCCAGGACGTGCAACAAGTAAATGCTCTTTCAAGCCCTGCTCCTTTCTACCATTACTTAAGAGCAAATGGACTGCATTTGGAGAGGGTGAGTGGCAGAACAGCGTCCCCCGCAAGGGAATTTCAAGGTGCTCTGAGAAGCAGACTGATATAATCGTTAGAGGAGTTCATCATTGCAGGCTGTCACGTCTCACAGTGGGAGTCGAAGGCTGGTCTGCTTGGTAAACTACTTCTGATTGTCACTGAAGCTGTGCTTCTTTTGAAAATACATCTTGTTTTTCCATACCCCATGTGCTTCTCAGCTTCAGGAGCTCCTCGTGGTTTAGACTGATCTTGTCTTACACATGTGTTACCTTCAGATTCTCAGTAATCATTCAATTCTGACATGGTGGATGTACCTATCTCCTCAGAAACTAAGTTAAATGCATTAGTCTGATTTGCTCCTTGAAGATGGTATAGAACATTTTGTCAGGACTTTGAAAAGGAAGCGCTGATCACAATGTGTAATGACCTCAGGCACATGATAAGTGTCTGTCTTCAAAGTCTACGTGTATTTGCACTAGATCATAGCTTGACATACCACTTGTTCACTAGATCACACACCAAGCTTTCTCTCAAGGTAGTAATGCTGATGGAAGACCCACAGGTGCTGCATAACCTGCCTATTTAGATACAGGGAACATCCTGAGATTTGCTGAAAATATCATTGGCTTCATCAAGGTACACAGTTTTTATTATCACACACATAATAGATCAGTTGAAGTGCTTAGACCAACTGAGGTGTTCCCATTGAAGAGAATAGTGAGTTGATTCTTATGGAGACACGAGGAACACTTACAGCTTTTACAGCATTGTTTAGGAAATGGCAACTTCACTGCATTGAATACCCACTTCCCCAGCTCTCCAAGTTCCGACTCACACCGCCGGCATGTGAAGCACATATGTTCATGTGGAAGGCAGATTTCGGGGTCTTCTTGTCATGTTTGTTTTATTAATGGTCATATCTCCTCAGGAGAAGACATGCATGCGCACACACACACAAGCAGAGTAGGAAGTGAGTTGAAAATTTGGGGTCTGCACCTCCTCGGAGGGTGCAGTCTAGTGTCCGAGCAAGTGTGGCACAGCCACAGAGAAGAATTGCTGGTTGGGAATAACAGGATACCTAGAAGAAGGGGCTGAGAGAAATCCACCCCGCTGGAGGAGTTAAAAACGAGTTTCTCAGAGGAAAATGTGGGAGACTGTTGAAAAGGGACACGAAGAAAGGAGAATTAAGACTTGACTTTCTCAGTTTTGCACTGAACTTTTGCTCCCAGCGGGTGGGCTCCGGCTTCCTTCCACCCCCAGCCTTCCTCCCCTGCCGGTGTGCAGTCTGTTAGGTAAACAGAGACTTTACACTGAGAAAGGAACATTTCTCTATTTTGGCTATGAGCTGTTATTTTTAAAGCTTCATCCTTCAAACAGTTTTGCCTATCCTCGTTTATTTTTTCACTAGAAAGAAATGTACTACTTTTAAAAAATTCAAGGATATGGCAAGGAAAACCCATTTCTGGTATGCCCTCCCCACCTCTGGCCTTTGCTTTGACCACTGCTTCACCACCGTGTGAACGATATGATTTATAAAGTCTTGTCTCTGCTAATACAGCACTTCCCCACAGATCCACAAAGTCAAATGCACGCCACACTTATTTTCCATCCACTTGAGGTTTAGTGGCCAAGTTCTACTTTGATGGATAAGCAACTACATATCAGTACATCTATAGTAATACTCAAGTATCAACCCTACTGCTGTGTGCTATGCCCCATTCTAAGCATGTTACACGGAAATGCACTAAGCCTCATCTGAGCATGTCATGGCACCTACTGGAGTACTGACCCGGTTGAATGGGAGGAGAAGCGTCTCAGCTGTAGGGGCCTTTCTGCACATTTTCCAGGGGATGTATGCATTGTCTTGCATCTGTCTTTCCCCATGTGAGTCTTCTTCCCACTTTTCTCTCTCCGTGGCTTGCTTTTCTCGGCCCTGATGTCTATCTAGCCCAATGACTGGTGTATGACAGACAATAAATCTTGTTGAATGAATTGCAGAGGGCAAGAAAGGAAGTTAGAAAAACAGTCTTTATTGTTGAAATTCTTTTGGAGAGGGCTGGTAGTTTGACCTAATGGTTCTGAGTGCTAATTCTCTTATTTGGAAAATGGAAAACAATATCACTCACCTTAGAAGTTAGTTGTAGGAACTTACAATATATTATAAGTTTTTCACAAATTTCAAATCAGTGAAAAAAAGGTGGTATGCTCCATAAAAAGCGTTAAAAAAACTAACTTGTTATCTGGAAAGAATATTAAGAAAATAAATGCTGAGTGAGAAATATTATTGAACTATATATATTCTTTAAGTCGGTGAATTGTGTAGTTTGTGGTATATCTAAGTAAAGTTGTTAGAAACTAATACATAGCAGAAGATCAAAGATTTAAACATTAAAGCATGGGCCATTATTGAAAGGAAACATAAAATAATTCTGTATGTTATTGGAAGGGGAAGTGACCTTTTCAAGCAAGACATACTGTTCTAGAGCCATAAACGAAAAGCTTGATAACCTTGATCCTGTAATAATTAAATGTTTTGTAAAAGAAGATAGGAGAAACAAAATCAAAGAAACATAGTATAAACCATGAGAACATATATAGCGTAGGACTAATTACTATCTTATATAAAGCAATCTTAAGAATCAATGTGGATGTGCTCAATAACACAACAGAAAAATGTGGGCAAGGTATAAGAGCAAGCATCACAGAGAAAGATCTCATGCCAATCTATTCTTCTACAGACACTGGAGATGTAGCTCAGTAGTACAGTGTGTGCTTAGTACCTGTGAGACTCTGGGTTCAATTCCCCAGGAACAACAATAGAAGTTCCACCACAGTACCAGCTTTTTGAAATCAATATTTAAACTCTTAAAATTAAAAATATGCATGTCCTCTTTATATAGCAATCCTATTTCTAGGAATTTATTTTACAGTTATCTTTACATGTTCAAAGACATAAGCATAAGACTTGTTATTGAATGAAATGTTTTAACAGCACAGTACTCACAGTTAACTAGGTATCAACCAAAAAAGTAGTTAAAGAAATTATAACCATGTACCAAAGAACAACATTTTGATCAACAGTGAACCACATGTACAATGCTGTCCCGTAATATTATATTGCATAGTAATACTGTAGGCTTCTTACGCTAAATACATTTTTTTTTTTTTTGAGACAGGGTCTCGCTATGCAGTTCAGGCTGACCTTGAGTTCACTGTAGCCCAGGCTGGTCTTGAACTCACAATGATCCTCCTACCTCAGCCTCCCAGAGTGCTAAGATTACAGTCATCCACCACCATGCCCGGCTCCAAGCTAAATACATTTTATGATCTTCACACAGTGGCAGAATTGTCTAATGACACATTTCCAGACTGTATCCCTATCATTAAGGGACAAATGACTGTATAGAATTTTGTTCAGTGAAAAGTCATGCAGCTGTTGAAAATAGTTAATGAAGAATACTAAGATCTATTAATTAAATACAAAACCAGGGGCTGGGGATTTAGCTCAGCGGCAAAGCGCCTGCCTGGCAAGCGCAAGGTCGTGAGTTCGGTTCCCGGTACCGGAGAAAAACAACAACAACAACAAAAAAAACAAAACCAAGTACTAAATAATGTGCTTGTGCTCATGTTTTAAATGTTTATATATTTCACAAATATGTTTACATATTATAGAGTATTTTAATATCTTCCTGTGTTTTAAATTCTTCAAAACATCATTTACCACAATGAATGCATTCCTTTCTTATGTAGTATCTCTTTAACTTTTGAAACAACCCATGGATAAGATACTAAATATACATTTTAAAATTCTGCATGTTATGACCCTTTGAATTCTCTTATTTAACAGTTTGCAAGTACTAAAGTTAAACCCTTTGTGTCAAAGCTCTGTTGCGTGGGAAGAGAAGCCTGAATTTCTTCTAATACTGTGAGCTGTGAGCCTTTGTTCTCTTAGGACCAACTCCAGGGTCATCAAGTCTGCTAACTGTTACTACCATTCTCAAGAGCAACATGAGTCAGTCCAGTGACAGTCTATAGATACAGTCCTACCCTGGTATTGCACTGCCTTGACACTCACTAAATTTAGTGCTTCATACATTTTGGTGTGAAAATTTTGTCCAGTTCTCATCATTCATCTAATACATGATGGGGTCAACCGCCTCGTGACTTGCTGCTCTTTACAATAAAAACAATTTGTTTGGTATTCATTTTTTTCAATATTCTTTGTACTCCCTGGACCCAATGAATTATGAACAATGAGGTACCAATGTATCCTAGTATTTCATGTACATCAAAAGAACTTCAAAACATCTTTTAGAACTTGGTATATTAGTTGAAGGCCGTGAACATTTGAAAACAAAGCTCCCCAGCAGCCCTTTTTAATCCCCACAACACTATAATGTCTAGAATGCAGTCAGAGCTTGATAAACATGTGCTGGAAAAATCATTATCTGAACCTTAAATCATTTTTCATTACCTGCAGGTTGAAGAACTCCATATTTAATACAGTAGATTTGACAATTAAACACGACATCTCTGCTAAGAATTTGAAACAAGATTGTTTTATTGCTGTAAAACCTTTTTCTGTCCTGCCTTCTCGAATTCAAATGAAAGTTCATGCATCCATGAAGAGAATGGGCTGGAGGTTTTTATCACTGATTTGGAGCTGGTAGATTTTTACAACTATGATCTTTATGTCTCACAGAAACTTTTCTGTCCTTTAATGCTTTTTAAACTTTGTTTTCCTAGGAATCAAGGTAAATGTGTAGAGGGTATGGTGGAGATCTTTGACATGTTGCTGGCGACATCAACTCGACTCCGTATGATGAATCTGCAGGGAGAGGAGTTTGTGTGCCTCAAATCTATCATTTTGCTTAATTCTGGTGAGTTGGTAATATGAGGGAACTTAATGCTGGGTTTCTGGAAGAAATATCTATTTGTGTTTTTCAGCCAGATATAGTCTATCCACTACAAAGGCAAAGTATCATAAATTAAAAGAAATTACTCACTCTTAAAATAGCTTGCCATTGTTGTAGGTTACTTAGAAAGATAGAATCATGATCAAATGTGATGAATGAATAATGCTAATTGGAAATTAAATCTAAGCATTTTTTTCATGAAATATTTGCCATCCTTTCATAGACATGGGATTTTTAAAAATGTAAAATGCTATGTGTAGGCAGACAGATCTCTGTTGATGATTATATATTTCAGAACTAGGTAGACTATGTGACCCCATTATGAGAGCATGACTGAGGGGTGAGCAGGAGACTCAGGGGTAGAGCTTGTGTTTAGCATGTGCAAGGCTTTAGATTCAACCTCCAACTCCTCTAGAAAAAAATATGCTGGACCAAGTTCAAGCTTCAGATAATAGTTACTTGAGACAGACCATATTTCTGTTTAAAGTTGATTAGCTAAAAATATAGTTGCCTTAAAGGTTTAAAAAGAGAAAAAACTTGTCCCCAAACTGAGTAACATGGAATGTTCATGTAAATCAGTGCATCAGAAGGAGCACTTCTCTTCACTTGGCCTTTGGACAGTAACCCTATGGTCCCCTCTATTTATTCATTTGAGAGAGCTTAGTTAAGAGCGGCATGTGTTTTATTTTGCTTCTTTGTTTTTTCTGTAGTGAAGTTGGCTGTTGTGTAAACAGTCACTGCAGGTCACCCAGATGGAAACCAGGGCTCAGCCTGGGTCTGCACCCCCACTCTTCCCAGCCCCCTCCGCATGTGGATCCAAGAGCTAGATCTGCAGCGTGAGCGACCTGAAGCTCACCAGTGGGTGTCAGCTGCACAGCAGATGCCTTTAGCAGGGACCTACTCCCCCAGCCCCACTCTGCCTCAAATGTCATTATCCCATAGAAATCCCAGCTCTCTGAAGCCTTGGACCTGCTGTAGTTCTTCACCATTACCTCTAGGCTCAACTTTCTCAATTGCAGAACTACAGCTTGTTTGGTCATATCCATAGAGAATCAACACTTCCTTCTCTTTGCAAATATTTTTGTCTGCTCCTGATGAATGCCAGTCTCTTCCCATCTCCCTGAATAATTTTCCACTTCTCTTCCACACCAGGGTTAGGAACCCACATTGCTTGATGGCTATCATCGTAATCATTCTCACTTAGCAGAAAAATGGAAATCAGTACTATTGCACTAGGCAAGGGCTGAATTACAGAGTGAAGTTCCATGGAAAATAATGTGATCTGCACGAAAGAAGTGATTACCACTCATTCAAGTTTCAGGTTCCACTCACATGCATTGTGCATTTCATTTGAGCCATTTGTCCTGTACATTGAAGGGTCCAGATCGCACAATGGCTCTTTATTGGATGAGAGTTCTGGGAACAGTGCCACTCGGTGCACGCTGCCAGGTCCTGATCCTGCTCCTTCTTTGGTGGAGGGCTGGCACATGCGACAGTGTTCGTGTGGGCAATCTCTTAACTTCAGGGAAAGCAGGCCGCACTTGGGACTTTTCCTCCACTTTAACCAAGAAAGACTACTCCAGCCAGGAAGTGAAATTATTCAGAGTTGTAGGTTCAACACAATCACATGCATTGATCTTGTTAATGAAAAATGCTTCCTTCTCAGGAATGTAGCCTTCCCTGGCTATTTTTGTTTCTGTTCCTATGACAGTGTTGGTTTACTATTATTTTTTAATATTGCACCAAAAAGTCTGAAATTTGAACCTCAAAACATGAACTCCATAGACCCAGACTTTTGATAACCCAGGATGGTGCACCTTTCAGACTTCATCAGAAAGTCTTTTATTACAGACTGGCTTTTATTCCAGAACCTCAAGACCACGTTTCCCACTGCAGGATGTGGCCCCCTTGGGCTCCTTGTCACATTGGTTGAAGCTTCATACTCTGTCTTTGTCTTTCCTTCTTTCTTGGGTTCTCCTGCGTGCTTGCTTGCTTGTGACAGGTTGGAATATTGCTTTGGAAAGACTGAGGCACTGTATACTGACATAGCTTGCAGTTATCTTTTTCATGAGATGACAGGGCAGCACCTTGTCTTTTCTATCACGGATGGTGTGGCTGGCTCTGGAGAGCAGCAACCCCTCATCAGAAGGACTCTCTCAATGCCTCCAAAGGCAAAACCATTCTTCTCACTGCAGAAGTGAGCTATGCTCTGGAAAAACAGAGCCTTCACCGTGCACAACTCTTAGTGTGTATGATTGTCCCTGTCACCACAGAATCAGAGCGGATAAGACTCTAAAACACACAGAGGTTGCATTGGTAGCTTGTTTTTAAGAGTAAAAGCAAACTTCACAGGAAGATTACCAGAACCAACAATGTTTTTCCCATAGAGGTACAGATTTTTCTGCAAACCTAAATGAATCCATGACTTCCATCTAGGACAAATCTCCACCTATGAGAAAAATTACAAAATGATGATGACTCTAGCAATCCCTAGCAGAAGCCACACTAAATGATTAGAAGATGCTTTCCTATGCCTTGGAAGCAAAACCTCAGTGGACGGAGAAACCTCAGGTTTTGTGCTGAGGCAGAGGTACAACAAGAGTTGAAAAGCTGTAGTGAAGACCTGCTAGGAATGTTGTTGTGGAAGTCCTGAAAGGGCCCCCTGGGGACCAGGATTTCCATGGGATGCCCCTGCCCCATTATGTGTGTGATTTCTCCCTCATTTAGAATAACTTAGCACATTACTTCTAAAAGCCCAGAATCATCATAGGACAACACTATTTGTTTTCATGCTAAAGGACGGAGGCATTCCTAATTAATCCCCAGATGCCTTCCCAAGGTCAATGGCAGGTTCAAAATTCTGAGAACCGGCTAGGCAGGGCTGAAAAGGAGGTGAACAAAATCAGAGAGATGAACTCAGGGCAAATGCCAGGAAGAAACAGCAGGAAGAAAAAGGAGGGGGCATTTGCGAAAGGGACCTGGGAAGGAGTCTGTGTGCATGCCTGTGGTCATCCTTCTATTCTGTGTGACTGCGAGTCTGCCTTGTAATCGTTCAGCTCTTCCCAATTCTTCTAGGCAAACTTAGATCTCACCTCATTCCGAAAGTCTTGCTACTACCCAAGTCTGTAATATTTCTTCCTCTGTGCACTTTTCAATTCTTAGTGCCCAATCTAGCATTTGAGTAGTTTGTTGACTTCCTTTATTTATCCAATAATTGAACATTTATTGAGTTCCCTATTAGGAACTTCATGCAAAGTAGTCCAAAACAAATGTCAGTTTTTTGGGTTTTTGTGAAATTTTTCCAGATTTTTTCTTCCCAATCAACAAACTTGATTGTTTTCTCATTCTGCAACAAGTATTTCCTCATTTCCCTTGAGCTATTTACACTTTTTAAAAAATGTCTTACTCTTTAGGCTGTGTGCTTTGAAAAAATGTTGCATCATTCAGTGATTTAGTAAATGGTTATTGGTTAAATATGGCTAAAACAAGCTGGAAAGTCCTCATTTCCCCCAAGCTGTTCTTCCCATTCTCAAATATATCATCCCTTTCAATGAGCTATAGCTCCAGATAGTATTAAACTATTCAGTGGAGAAATTAATGTTCATCCTCTTGGGTTGCTATGAACAAAGGGGAATGACGTAGAGAGTGTCAGATGCAATTCATGGATTATAATAGTCCTCAGTCAGTAATGGGCATTATCACCAAGGATGACAGTCTGGCTTAAACTGAATGGACTCATACCTTTTTCAATATGGTACTTTAGTTTAAAGGCCTCCAACTAGGCTTTAAAAAACGCAGCGATTAGAGGAGAGTGAGAGACTGTGACCACTACTCCCAAGATGGTTAATTATACTGTTTAATTATGTCTAACAAAAGGATAGAGTCATATTGAACTCATGGGAAATAACTAATTATGATTTGAACCTTAATATTGTAAGAGCATGATGAAAACTGCAGTAAACCAATGTCGAATAACCATGCATTCATCTGCCATTTGATCCACTGTCTTCTCACCTTCAGAACCACGATGCCTAGAATCACTCCCAATCAGGATGCTACCCTCTGCACGAGTGTGTTTCAAGGCTCAGAAAAATCTACGTATGAAAGCTAATATGTGTAAATCTATAATCTCTAATGAATGTTTGATATTGCCTTCAATTCAATTTAATAATCATTTCTACCATCCTCTAAACACCTTTTTGACCAAAAGCATTTAACTCTGGAGAGTTTTGCCATGCTTTGCTTTCTTTTAAATAGCTATCCAACTAGCTTCCTGGAGAAGAGGAAAGACCCCTGTTTCCAGGCCATCTGTGCTGTTGCACTGTAGGACATTTTACTTCCACCTACCAACCTACTCCAGCTACCTAGAAATCCCTGTGCCTACTGGCTCTCTGAACCACCGGTAGAAGAGCGCTTGACTTGTGTACCCTGGTGCTTACTTGGTGAAACAAGGAGATGCTGGATATTTTAGACATAAGCATAAAACAGTGCTAGCTGTCCTCTGTCATCTATCTAGGTCTGCTCTGTTAGTGTGCTATATCTTGTCATCACGGTTCCAGAATGAAAAAAACACATGATGCTAAAGCTGATGACATCCTATTCACTATTTCTGTGTTTAGTGGAGGCTATGTGCTGGCCAATGAAGCATTTATTTCATGACTAATTATAGAGAAAGTTCTCACTGCAAAGAATATGTCTTCTCTCCTGAGCTGGATTATTTGTATTGTTAGACAATTAGGCAGAGCATTCATATTCTTAAGTTTGGAAATAAAAGTAACTCTGAGAGTCCCTATATTTAGATGAAAGAACATGTTTAGAGCATATTGGCTGTAAACATTGAGGAACATTATTCTCAGCAATTAAAGGCTTCTGACAGGAACAGGCTTTGGAAATCACAAATGGGCACATTGTTGGGAATACTCGTTGTTGTCACTTCAGAAAAGATTTGATGATATTATCTCCTG